ATTCAGCATTTGGAAAAATCCAGGTAATCCTTCATTCTGTACATGCATAAATATCAATTGCATTTCTGCAGTCTGCTTCAGTGCTTAGATAAGGCAAGTGCAATCCTTGCTGTGTGGATGATAAAATATATCTAAGATGACATTAAAAATCATCATTACCGTCTTTTTCAGTATCATTATCAGCCTTGGTACTAACAATTGAGAATTTTTTAAATGCCAAGCCTCCTAGCATTTCTATGTATTAATTCATTTAATCTTTGCAGCAAAGTTGTAAATAGGCAATACTATTCTCCCTAGACGCCTAAGACCCCAAGAAATGCATAAATGTAAAAAGTTAATTTCAATGCAATGTGATGTTGTTATGAATTATACGTGATGTTTAAAATAATGCCTAAAAGCAGCTTTCAGCACTAATATGCAAAGAGAATTAAGATTCCCCTCTTCTCCACAAATTCCCTGCTTTTGCACAGAGAGAGGGGGTGACAGTGAGGGGGGGTCCCCAAAAGTCTTTAAATATTTTTATTTTCAATTTTATCTCTTACTTTTCTAACTTTTCAAGGACAGAGTCACCGGCGGTAATGGTTGCAATTGCTTCATGTAAGTGATGTTTGAGAAGTTATTTGTTCAGATAGAGAAGGTAATACAGATGCTGTGATGCGATCCGGAGCCTTCCCGAAATAGGGGGAAAGGGCATACCAATTGAGACGTAAGCAAAGGCGCTCTCCTTGGGAATTTAAAGCCCCTGTTTCATTTTCTGACCTCACTACATAGACTTTCACACCATCCAGGGCTGCTATTGGATAATAACTGTGTCCAATAACCCCAGGGACCCAACCAATTTATCATGGACGCTGCTGGAGAGATTTTCGGTTTCTTGCACCCCAGTCCTAGGCTGTGGGGTCTAGGGAAGCCAAAGGGTTGCTAATTGCCATGTTAAATTCTCCTGGCCTCAGCTATTCTCTCCCTTGTGTCTCTCAATCTCTCAGTCCAATTGGAGACGTCTGTGGGAATTTATCCGCACGCCAGGAGCTCAAAAAGCATTTACTGCTAGCCCGCATGTATCAGCAGAGGAGAAAGGTGGTTTCCGTTGGGGTGGCTGTGCTCTGCATTTTATGATGCCATTTCATAATGGGAGGTTGCAATCTTCTGCTGACTGTAAGATAAAAGGGGCAGGAATTCACAACAACTTGTGTTTGAGGAAATGTTTTCTTGAATTTAAGGTTATCCGTCACAATAACAGTTGTTACTAATGTCCTTATCCGATGTCGTCTAAATAAAGTCCATTAACTGACTTTACATTGCTGGGCCCCGTTGCTCTAACTTTATTATAGCTGTCGATACCCTGTTCAAAATAATAATTCTAGCATTGATTTCTACTCCTTCTTTGCTTAAAGACCCCTTGACATCTGCACTGGATTTCTGAAGTTTAAGACATTGGGTGGAGGTTTAAAGGAGACATTATGTCAACAAAATCTGTAGGTTCCTTCCTTATGCAATAGTTTAGGAAATTTAATTATGTTCCATAAAATACACAATAAGTAGCTTGAGGTGGATAGTTTCTCTGCCTTTGTTTTCAAGTCTAAAATCTTTTCTAGACACACAAGACATATTTGCAACCTTTTCCAAAACTCATGAAAAAGCCTGCTTTACAATAATTAGTCATGACAGCATCTTGATTCTACCTCCAATGTGACCTAAACACATATAAAAAAACACCCTCCCAGCACTCAGGAGGCAGAGGCAGGAAGATCATTGAGTTCAAGGCCAGCTTGATCTACAGAGCTAGGTCCAGGACAGCCAAGGCTACACAAAGAAACTCTGTCTCAAAAATCTCTAAAACACAACAAACAAAATGATGACAAATACCCTTCTTCTATAGCATATGTACATATGAAATACTACAATGCTTTTAGTGAGAATATATTTGACAAGTAAATATACACTCTCAAGTTGAAGAGAATGATTATATTTGTATCAGAAAGCAAGCTCACACTAATGGCTCATGCCTAGGCAGAATTACCAGTGTGATGATATTAGGTGCACTTGAATATTGTATGTGACTGATGTAACGGAAGTGGGATTCAGTGTGTTACCGTGATCCAGCCACAGTGAAGTGGTGTCCCAAGTGGACCTGGTTTTGCTCTTGGGTCTCTTCTCCAAACTGAGGACTAAGGGGCTATTTTCCACAGGCACTAAGGGCTTAGAGGTCTGTAATTCATATCCAAAACTGTCACACTTGATTCCAGTCCCTTTGATGCTTCTTCCCTTCCAGATGAGACTAAGATCCCAGGTCTTTTCAAGGGCAATCTAATGTGATAGAAAGAATGTCAGCTTTGAGTCAAAGATACCTCAATTATGGCACCTTTTCTACTACTAGATTCTTGGTAAATTCATGAATATTTCAGAGTTGCATATTCTCTATATGAAAAATAAAAATAAGACCATCTAATCTCCTAGAATCATTAGTGAGAACTGTACAAAATCTAATGAATAAACTGTACACGCACACACACACACACACACACACACACACACACACACACATTTTTTTTGAGACAGGGTCTCTCTGTGTAGCCCTGGCTTTCCTGGAACTCCTTCTGTAGGCTTCACTAGCTTTGAACTTAGAGATTCAGCTGCATCTGCCTCCCAAGTGCTGAGAATCAAGTCATGACCACCACTGCGCAGCTGAGTATATTTTGGATATGATGTGGCCCCAAAGGTTTATGTGCTAAAAGCATAGTTGCCAGTTTATTGTGCTATTGATCGATAGTGAAACTCTTACCGGTCGATGCCTACAAGACAGATACTAGATTGTTGGGAGTGTCCCCTTGAAAGAAATATTAAGAGTACAGTCCTTCCTCTCTCTTTTGCTTCCTACTTGCTATGAGGTAAGTAGTGTTATATCTCCAGGTACTCCCAACATTATCTTGTGTCTCACTATACGTCCACCATGATTGGGACGAGCAAGGGAGGAGGAAGGAGAGAGAAATATTTCTCTAACAAGACTCAATTATGTTGGACAAGGATAATGAGGCAGACAAGGACTATGATGGGGACAAGAAATGGATAGATTTTCATTCTGAGTCTGTGTGTCTGTGTAGGAGTATATGCACATGAGGGTAGGTGTCTGTGGAGAGACATTGGATTTTGGATTCCCTGGGTCTAGAATTACTAGAGATTGTGAGTGATCCAACATCAGTACTGGGAGCCAAACTCAGGTCCTCTGCAAAAGCAACACATACACCTTCCCCCGAACCATGTCTCCTGGCCCAAGACAGACTTTCTTTTTCTCCACCTTCTTTTGACCCAATGTGAAATGTGCTCCTTCTGTATTATCCAAGGGATGAAATTAACCAGGTGCAGGCTGACATCATCTTGTCACTCTTGGCTGTTCAATATCACAAGAATGCCATCTCTTAAAACAAGAGCAAAGCATTTTTAAATATATTCATGACTAATTAAAAAATTGTCCTTGCTCATCCCAGCAACCTGATTAAAGTACTAGTTTTTCTCTGGGGGTATGGAGGGGAAAATACTTACAAGGATGAGGTTCACAGAACTCCGGAATCTCATGAAATTTACACGACTCAGAAAGCACTTGAAACATACAAGACTCCTTTCCAAGACTGCAGAAGTAATTGCTAGACCAGAGGAGACAGGTGGAGGTGCCTTCAAGTTGGGCAAGGACTTCCAGCCAAGCAGCTTCTATGAGATGTGTGTGTGTGTGGGGGGGGGGTGTGGGCTTCTTGATCGCAAAGCTGAGTCCCCCAATGCGTCTGTAAATACGTCCTCACTTATGAGCCTGTGCAACCCCAACAAACTCATTCATTCATCAAGTTCCATTTAATACAATCATTTCTTCAGTGAAGACATACTAGTCCTCCTTTTCAAAGGACATAATAACAAAAGGCCATCATGAAAGTAGAAAGAAGTTTATGTCAGATAGGCAGTCTTGTTAGTGTCTTGGTATTAACTACAAGTGCCCAGAACTATGGAACAGATTTCCATTCTTTATAAGTGATCCAGTATCAATCATGTTATTTAGGTTTTATAAAATTTAATCTATTCCTCTCTCTCTATCTGTGTGTGTGTCTATGTACGTTCACACACATGTACACGCGTGTGTGCACACATTCATGGGGGTACACACATGCATGTGAAAGCCATATGCCAGTGTTTACTTCTTCCTTGGGCACTCTCTGCATTATTACTTTGTGAGGCAGGGTCTCTGATTGAATCTGGAGCTCAGAGAGTTTACTAATTTTGTAAGGCTCTCACGAAGGAGCTTCAATGATCTGCCTCCCTTGAGATGGACTTAAAGACCTGACATGTTTTTCTGTAGGAGCTGGACATCTGAGCGCAGGTTCTCATGTTTGTCACAAAATAATTTACTAACATATCTTCCCAGAGGCCAGTCTGCTGTGTTGTTAGAGCAGTGCTAATGGGCTGAGGTATTTACTCTCCATTTTTACTGCCTATGCGTCTCCAAGTTCCTTAAGGGTTTTGAACAAAATAAAGCCAGCTTTCCTTCAATAATCATGATTGTAGCAATAATATAGGAAGGCGGAGAATGGTATCACCCTGGAACTAATTTCCTATGACGCGTCCGTGTGAAACCCTGAAGTCTGCCTGGCGTTGCGGGACGGACTGTGTCATGGGTGCTTTCACTTCCCTAAAACAGGAGCATTGGGAGATGCAGACCTCAGAGCGCCCACCCTTGTGAGGATTTACTGAGTTATGTGAAAGGTATTGATCACAGCTCGAGAAAGAATATCAACTGGAAATAGCGGCAGTGGCAGCAGGTAACTGGGAAGACAGCTTCAAGTCTCACAACACAGAACCGTCTGGAGGTACCTAAGATTCGTGGTGGTTAAACAAGTTTAAAAATGCAGTGTGGCTAAGAAGATCCAGGTTTTTAAACCAGTTTTGTTTTAACTAGTGTTTTACTTTCAGGCTACACAATGCTATGACCATCCTAATGTGATTAGAAGTATAAAATGATACCGGAAACTGATTTGTGGGAATTATTACCTTTACCATCCCAGGCAGTTTGGCAGAAGGAGTAAGATCACACTCCCGAGTGGGCTATTTCACTTAGTGTGGGTTCATTACTGTCTTGGAGCCTACATTGAAGGGGAAAAAAGAAGTATAAAATGGGAGCTAGAGAAATAGCTCAGTGGTTAAGAGAATTTTTTTCTGGTGGAAGACCTAGGTTTGTTTCCTATCACTCACATATGGGAGTTATAGGGACCTGCTTGGACGGTAGGCATGCATGTGATGCACGTACTTACATGCAGGCAAAACACTCATACATATTGAGAGAGAGAGAGAGAGAGAGAGAGAGAGAGAGAGAGAGAGAGAGAGAATTCTCCACACGTGCACTGAGGATGAGAGATGGTTCAGCAGCTGTTAAAAGCACTAGCTGCTCTTGCAAAGGACCTGGGTTCAGTTGCCAGCATCAATGCAGTGGTTCACAACCATCTGTAATTCTAGTTTCAGGAGATCCAGTGCTCTCTTCTGGCCTTCTTGGCTACCGCATGCACAAGATAGACACACATGCATGAAAACATAAAAATAAACACAGTTTGACCCCTTTAAGCCCTTATGGGCTACTTGTTCTACCATTTTTCTTTCCAAAATACTTTATATGCTTAACTTTCAAAACCTTCATCATCTCATTACATAGGTTGTATTTTGTTTATTCCTGAAGCACGGTAGGCAGGGAACAGTTTAAGGATAGAGATCAAGCTTTCCAAGACCAAGAAATAAATCCTGGCACATAGTAGATGCTGAAGGAACACCTTTTTTTAAAAAAATTAATTAATTAATTAATTAATTTTGAAAGTAATTTTATTAAATTATAAAAGTTTCCATTTCCGCCCCTCCTCCCAACACCCTCCCACTCCCCCCACTCCCTCTCCTCCTCCCTCTCCATCCCTAAGAGCAGTCAGGGTTTCCTGCCCTGTGGGAAGTTCAAGTTCCTCCCCCCTCCCTCCAGGTCCAGGAAGGTGAGTATCCAAAGAGACTGGATCCCCAAAATCCAGTATATGCAGAGGAAGCAAGTCCCAGTGTCATTGTCAATGGCTTTTCAGAAAGACTCCGGGCCAGCCACATTCAGAGAATCCGGCCACATTCAGAGAATCTGGTTGGATCCCGTCCTCGTTCAGTCCCAGTCCAACTGGCTTTGGTAAGTTCTCATTAGATCAGTCCCCTTGTATCAGTGGGTGATGGCATCCCTAGCAGTCCTTATTTCCTTTTTCATTTTCTTCATCCTTCTGCTCCTGATTTGGACCTTGGGGGGCTCAGTCCGGTGCTCCAATATGGGTCTCCGTCTGTATCGCCATCCATCGTCGGATGAAGGTTCCCTCTGGTCTTGCGAAGGAACACCTTTTGAACAAAACTTTATTGAAGAGTGTATGCAGTATATAATAAAACAAAACAGGATGAAAAGAATTTCATTGTCATAATTTGGCTTCATGGAATTAAAACAGGCTGTAAGGAATATCACAGAGTTGTAGTCAAGACAATATGATAAGTAAATAATGGAAACAAGATACCAGTTTGGCTGTAGGAAGGAAATCTCATTTTTGGGTACTTCTCCCTGTAATGAGTACTGCGAGCTAAGATTTTAATAGTTCATGTGAGGAGCAGAATTAAAAAACCAATCAATATTTTCTTACCAAGAAAAGTTTGAGACTTAAGAGACTTGGGTATTAAATTTAACTATACAGAGACTATTTGGCTTCAAAGACAGCCTAGGAGAAATTGACTCTAGTTGATGTTTCCTATTAAAATGTATCCCATCCATCACCCTAATAGACCATCCATATGATTTGTCCATCACATTATGAGAACAAAATGCTATCTTGTCTCCTTGATACTGCTTCTTGAAAATAGAAAGAAATCAGTGGTGCGGGGGAGGAAGATTCTTCCACACTGTTCCTTTTCCGATTCTATTTTTTAAAAAGTTGTTCATAACACACAAGGTCTGGCATCGGGAGTAATTACAGTAAACCATGTAGAAATCCCAGAGGAGGCAGGCGGGGAGGATAATGTTTGCTACGTTATAAACTTAAAAGGAAAGCACTGAGTCTGAGGGGATGTGAAGGTGAGTAAATCCTTGTGAGGAAGTCCAAATGGGTGATTCGGTCTCACCTGCTTGAATCAGAGTCTCTGGGCTATCATACGATGCAAGAAGAGTCATGGCAGGCATTCGAGAAAGCATTTTACTAGCTGACAATGCTGAGCACAGGCTAGACAAACGGCTGTGTCTGCAGATTGTAACCCACAATAATCATGTCGGTCTCCAATGTGGGTTCAAGAAGGGAGTTCCATCTGTTGTCTGCAGAGACAGACCCAGGTCTCTGCTCCTCACTGCTCTCTCTGAGGTTATAAGACATGATTAACAATGTGAAGACTCTACTTAAAAAGAAGCTATTTTCTCAAACCAATATTTGTTTCTCAGTTAATTTGGTCATTGTAAAAATAGACCATATGCAGGATGCCTCTATGTTTCAATGATAAAAAATTTCTTAAGCCCCAAAGTCACCATGATGTATACTCAGATTTTAGAAGCAAAAAAGTCACAAACATTGATGAGAACATGTCTACTCCCCCAAGTCAAGTTTTACTTGATTTTTCAACTAAGTGTGTACAGTCACTCTCAAAAAAAAAATACAAAAATGAATACAGCCACCAATACCTTCAGGAAATTGTCCCTGCGGTAGGTGATAAGCCTCTCCTAAATTGAACTGCCTCTGTTCTAAACAGGCTGGCAGGTGTGGCCACAATTTGAACAGATGTTTCCACATGTGGGAGCTGGGGTTTGAAGACCTCTCTGATGCCTTTGCATTTTCCTTTATGTCAGTCAATGTGGCCAAGCATGTTCAAGCTGTCCTTCTCTTCTGCCTCACCCTGGCCTTCGGTTGGTAGAGCTGTGGGCTGTGGTATGCTATTTTTTCTCCTGTATTTTTAGATGATTGTTAAGAGCTGGTTTTTTTTTTTCATATTGTTTGTGGGATTCTCGAGTCAGGCTTTCTGGTCTATTTCAATACATTATTTTATAGGAGGGGAGGAAGAAGGAGAGAGAGGGGGAGGGAGAGTGAGGGAAGAAAGGCCAGAAGGAAGGAGGGAGGGAGAAAGAATAGTAGAGACATGAGTTTTAGAAACCTTGGCCAAAGGCATTTGACCTTGCCCTGCATCTGTTTTGACACAGGAATGTGAACTGCCCCAGGAAGGCATTAAGGGAACAGAGTGACTGTTTTGTCATGTCTTATTGTTTAATTAGATCACAAGTTAGATCCCAGTTTTAAAATCCTTTTGGCACATGCCATAATTCTCAGTCAGTATCAAGCATTTCCTAGCAGTTGTCTATATAAGGCAAAAAAGAAAGTAAATTCAGTATTTGAAACAGCCTCTTCATTCATTCATTCATTTAATGACAGATTCTTACAATAGAGTTTCTGGTGGTCAATCACTCAAAGATTTTTCTGGAAGTAATTGTACCCTGTGGCTTTCAAACATTCCATTTAATCCCAGGTTTCCTTCCCTCAAACCATATTAAATGCTCCTGGCACGTAGAGTCCTGGATCCTCCTGATGCTGTGTCCATGTTTAAAAACTTCCTATTTTTATTCACAAACTCCCACCTGACTCTCTCCAGACATAATGCAGAATCAGAGTTCTAGATCCTGCCAGGGGAAAGTTGGTGTCTGAGTCAAAAGGTTCTGATCCACTCAGTCTTGGGAACTTAGAAATAGGAGGGTCTCCTGGTCAGTCAGTCTAGCTTAACCAGCGCACACCAAGTTCAGAGAGAAAGCATGTCTCACAACATACGGTGGAAAGAGAGCTGATGTCGTCCTCTGGCCTCTGCAACCACAAACACAGTGAGAGAAAGAAGAGAGAGAGATTGTGATAGACACAGAGATAGAGTTGGGTGGGGGATTAAAAAGAAATAGACTTATGATTCCAGAAATCTTCAGTTCATGGAAAGCTTCCCCTCTCGGGTCTTGCTTTAAACGCTGGATGTTTTTTGGCATCCACAGCCTCAAACATTGGGACTTAGCTCCCTTCCTGCAAGGAGACCAAGCCACAGATCAATTAATCTGATGTCTGAGAAATTGCCTGCAAATTTCATTTTCCTTTAGAGCTAAATAAAACTCTATGTTTTCATTCTCCATTCATCAATTGATGGACATCTAGGTGGACTCAATTTCTAAATTATTGTGAATAGAGTATCAATATACATGAATATGCAAAAGTTTCTGTGGTATGTTGTAGAGTCATTTCGATATATTTTCAAGAGGACGATTGCTAGTTCATATGATGGTTATATTTTTAGTTTTTGTGAGAAGGTTCCAGAGTGGCTTCCTTGCACAGTGAATAAGGGTTCCTCTACCCCTTCATCCCTGCCAGCACTTAACTGTCATCTATCTGTTCTCTTGCTGGCGTGTGCTGAGTTTATAGCACCTGTTGTACTGTCAGATGTGATATCAATTGCCTCATTGATTCATAAATGCAAGACTTATCATTCTATGAAGAGTTATGAAATCTTGAGAATAAAGGAAGCCTTTTAGGGAGCTTTGGAAAGAGAAAGAGAAACCCGGGCAGAGTTCTGGGAAGAACCTACATTGCAGACGTGAATAATTGCAAACCAATCCTTGAAAGAGAACAAGAAAGAAGGGCTGCTGAGGTAGGATTAAATCAAAGGCTGTGTTGTGTCACAGGAAGAGGGAAGGGAGCAATTTAGGTGTTGCCTGATCCAGTCAAATAGAGACGTCAAAACATAAAGGTTTTTTTATTTTTTTATTGACAGTCATTTTTGACCTTACCAAAAACAGTTTTATCATTGCCGTTGTTATAGGTACTGATCACATCGAATTAATTTAGTCAGTTGTAATAATTCATGCCTTTCAAAGGCTTTGTCCATTTAGCCCAAGTTGTCATATTTAGTGACACAAAATCTTTACAATATTCTATTCTTGCCACTTTAATCACTACATGGTCCCTAGTGGTGTGATGGCTTCATTCTGCTTGTTGTTTGCTGCTCTTCTTTCCCTCTATCTTGATTAATTTAGCTAGAAAATTATCAATTTTGTTGATTTTTTCCAAGAAGCAAGGTTTGATTGTATT